AAGTCAGCCTTCATGAGCCAGGGTCCACTTCCCCTGGGGGCTCCCGTGCCCAGGCTGCTCCTCCTTCCTGCAGGGAGCCTGATGTTTCCTACACTCAGGCTGACTCCCGGACCCCCACCACACTGCTGTCACAGGACCACACGTACCCTGCTGGGTGCCCGGTGGGGAAGGTGTGGGCCCTGGGTCTTACATTTTACTCAAGGTTCTTGTCCCCATGGAGATGAGGATTCACAGCAGCAGCAGCCACAGGCAGTGCACAAAAGCAGCTTTGATTTCAAGGAGAGAGAGCGTGCCCACACCTGCACGCCTACTGAGGGCCGCCACACACGGAGAGACCCTCAGCAGGAATGGGCCAGGGTTGCCAGGAGGAAGAGAGGAAGAGGCAGCCCAAGGAGGATTCCCAACCGCAGCAAGGGGCTGAGGGGCCCTCCCCTTTCTCATCCCAGGGGCGTGCCCTAAATGCATAACCCAGTGGGGTGGGATCTCACCTGTGGGAATACTGAAGGGATGGTTATGGCCCCTCCATCCAGAATTTCACTTCCCTGTTTCCATCATGGCTTCTCCTTCCTGGTCCCAGCTGAGACACAGGTGCATCCTGGGAAAGTGGTGTAAAAGACTGACAAGCAAAGGGATAAAGTTGCAATGCAGGGCTGGCAAAGTTCCAGCTCCCGAATTCCCGTTGTTCTCCTGCCTCGTTGCCAGGTATCAGGACCAGCAGGTTTTCACTGTCAAGGAGAGGACAGAACTGTGTCTCAGAAGAAGCTGGGGACACAGCACACATTGGGTTCACCCTTAGTTAGTGCCATGGTCACTGCCACTGCCTCTCAAAACCTGGACCCTGAGTGAGCAGGGAGGGGATGGGCAGAGTCGGGAAAGGATGGAGGAAGGGCCTGGACCCAGTGGGCAGCCAGCCTGGAAACCAAGGAGGAGCTTCCAGGATCCGGGGCAGTGACACCTGCCAGCCTTGGCTCAGGTGACCCCTGGGGCAGGGGCTGTGGCACAGAGCAGTAAGCCACCATCTGCAGTGCCTTCATCCCATGTAGGCACAGAACCGAGCCCCGGCGGCTTCACTTCCGATCCAGCTTCCTGCTAATGGGCCTAGGAAAGCAGCAGAAGGCCCACGTGCTTGGGCCCCTGCGCTCACCTGGGAGACCCAGAAGAAGCTGCTGGCTCCTGGCGTTGGACTGACCCAGCCCTGGACGTTTGAGACTGACCCTGTAGATGGAAGATCTCTCTCTGTGTCTCTCTTGACTCTTTAACTCTGCCTTTCAAATAAATAAAAAAAAATAAGTCTCTTTTTTTAATGGTTTATTCTCTGAAAAGACCTCCTATGTGTCCAATTACTGCCCAGTGCTGCTTTCCGTCCACCCCACACTCTCCTGGACCAAGTGCCAGGACAGTGAAGTTGGTGACTCCAGGATTGATGCGAGGGGCTTGGACCCCCAGAGGAGCCAGGACAAACTGGAGGCAGCCATGCTAGGGTCCCCACCTGACCTCTCTCTCTCACCCCAGGCATGCAAGCCCCGCCCCTGCGGTGCACCCCGCCCCCGCGGAGCACCCTGTCTACTTCCTGCCCAGGCCAGGGGCAAGGCCCTGATCCCAGCCTGGAGCACTGGGCACAGTCTCGGGACAGAGAAGCTCACAAGCCCGCATGCCGTGGAGCATGGGGCTACACCGAAGGGGAGCTCAGCTTGGCGCCCTGGTCTGTGGACTCCTGCTGCTCCTTAACCCAGGTCACCGTGAGGCTTCAAGGGTGGCAACAGGGACCAAGGTCAGATCTGCCCAATCCCACAGTAAGTGCCTTAGGTCACAGGAGGGCAGCGCCTGGGAGGTTGGAGCTGGCAGAGGTGACAGTGGGGGACCTGGGCGCCCACCATGGTCTCCTGAGGCTCCAGGCACGGAGGAATGAGCCCAGCACGAAGGCTCTGAGCAGCGCTGGTCGGGTCAGCAGCCAGGACAGGAAGGGGCGTGGGAAATGGGGCCCTTTCCCTCCCTTGCTTGAGGCTGTGGTGACTGTGCCCTCCCCAGGACACTGATGAACCTGCCCTGGGCTGTGTGTCTGCCAGGGTCTCCTCTGACCCTGTGCACCTGGCAGGGGTCCTCCTGGGCTGGATTCCAGGGCAAAGCTGACCACACCTCCGTGCCTGGCATTCTGGGAGCCCAGGCCAAGAGGGCACCACTCCTGGGTGTGTCGTGGAGCCTTTATCTCCTCATTCCAAAGGCCCAAGACTGCAGCTGGCATTGCAGAGCAAGTCAGCACTGTGCACTGGCGGCCCCTAGGAACACTGGCTCCAGCTCTGCCTGCTGGTCTCCCAGTGCAGCTGCCTGTAATGTGCCTGGGAAAGCAGTGGAAGATGGCTCTGTCCCAGGCCCCTGATGCTCCCATGTGGGAGACCCTGCTGGAGTTCAAGGCTCCTGGCTGAGGCCTTGGTAGGGCCTTTTGGAAACTGAACAAGCAGATGACCTCCCTTGCTCGCTCTCTCTAACTCTCTCTTTCTCTCTCTCTCTAACTAGATCTTTCCTAAAAATAGCTCTTTAAAGAGAATAAAAAATCATGAAAAGCCAGGTCTCTAACCCCACCCTCTCCCTATCTAATCCCCAGCACAGGCCCCACTCCTCCTCCTCCATGCTCACCCACGGGCTCCCCGCCTGCCCTGCAATGCACAGACTCTCCCGGCGACCAGGACCTTCCAGGCAGATCGTCTCTCCCACATCACTGTGGTTCCTAATAAAGTAATATCTGGGGCTGGTTCCCCACTCATAGAGTTGTTGTTCCCCAAGGTCCCTGGGAGTCGCTGTGCGTGTCCGGGGCAGGAACCGCAGCAGCGTCTGCACGGAAGCCGCCCCTGTCCTCCGTGGACTCTGCTGAGCTCAGCTCACTGTCAGCCTCACAGCCGGAACTGCTGCTGCAGGCAGCGCTGTCCTCCATGGTTGGGGCGAACGACAAGGACAAGGTCGGGACCGGCTCAGGACAGAGGCACTGTTTACTCACCCGCTCCGGGGCCAGGCTCTCCTCTCCCTGACCCAGGGGCCCAGAGCACCCTTGTGGCCGGGCATCGCCTACTGTGACAGGGGAGGTTCCTCCCAAGGAGGAGTCAGCTTCCATGGGCTGGGGATGATTGATTTCTGCTGGTTTGAAGGCAGAGACACAGGGAGAGGGAGAGACAGAGTGAGAAAGAGATCTCCCCTCCATGGTCTCCCTCAGACGCCCGCTGTGTTAGGAGGGGAGCATCCCAGCGGCCTTGCTACTGCTGCTCCAAGTGACGGCCCAACAGTTGGCCCTTCCCTTGGGCTTCTACCGAGGGTGGGGCCTGCAGGGCGGGTGGAGCTCCAGGTTAAGTGTTGCAGGACTGCCCGTCGGGTTCCCAGAGCAGGTGTCCCGTTTCCCTACCCCAGCAATGTGCAGAGGCCCCCTCCCCACCCCCGCGCCCGCGCTCTGCACCCCTGTGCGGTTGCCGTGTGTTGCTGAGTCTCCCTCACGCTTCAGCTCCCCCTCTGCCTCGCTGTGCTCTTCCTCCTGATTCCTGTGTTGAGAAATCAGTGTACCCCTGGCTCTCTCTGGAGGGGGAGGACTGTCCCTGTGGTGCCTTCTGGCCGTTCCTCTGTCCCCTCACCCTGTGTACACAGGAATTGTACCTAGAGGCTCCGTCAGGTTTAGCTGTTAGGGTTCTGCTTCAGTTTCTTGTTTTTTTTGGCAAGACCAGCATGTGGTGCTGAGTCCTCACCATAGAACATCTCAACCTTTTCATATCTGATTTGTGGCACAACATAGGTCATGAGGGGACGCATTGGGAACAGCCATGGAGCCAACACTGGGCACGCCCCAGCCCTGAGACCTGTGCCCAGGTCTTGCCTCGGCACCTCCTGACTCCAGCTTCCTGCTGACCTGCAGGCTGAGAGGCAGCAGGGCGGCTCCGGTACTGATCCCTGCTTCCCACTGGGAGACCTGGATTGTGGTCAGGGCTCCTGGCTATCAGGGCCAGGAGTGGTGGGCATTTGCAGAGGGAACCAGCACACAGGACATCTCTGTCTCTCTGTGTTTGTCTCTGTTTCTCTTTCAAATAAATGAATACAAATTACAAACAAGAGCACCGAGGTAGTCTGGAACCACGTGCTTTTCTCTTCATTTGTGTGAGATCCTCAGGTTTATGTGCATATTTTACACATTATTTTTTTAGAGAGATTTATTTTATTTGAGAGGCAGATTTACAGAGAGCCAATTGTGTAGAGAGAAAGAGAGAGAGAGAGAGTGAGTGAGAGAGGGAGAGGGAGAGAGAGAGAGAGAGAGAGAGAGAGAGAGAGAGGTCTTCCATTCTCTGGTTCACTCCCCAGTTGACTGCCATGGCTGGCACTGAGCCAATCCAAAGCCAGGCTCTTCTTCCAGGTCTCCCACGTGGGTGCAGGGCCCAAGGAGTTGACCGTCTTCTGCTTTCCCAGGCCAGAGCAGAGAGCTGGATGGACAGTAGAACAGCCAGGACTCAAACTGGCACATATGGGATGTTGGCACTGCAGAGGGTGGCTTTACCTGCTATGCCACAGTTCTGGTCCCTACACCTATTTTCTGATGTGTGGCTAAAATGTTCTGATTCGTTTGTAGAAACTCTTTAGTAATCCCTGGGCTTCCCCATTAGGTGACTTCGTCACCTCCTCCCTCGCTGGTCCCCAGGTCAGGCTGTGCTTGTCCCGTCCTGGGCACAGTCACCTCCCTCCTGCATTCATGGCACGAATGCCATCTCTTGTATAGAGCATGCTCTGAGGACGTCTTTAGCACAGTTGGTGAGGCTCCGGACCCACCCCATCCCTGGGCAGGGGAATCCTGCTCATGCAAAAGCTGTGGCAAATGCACCTTTGTGGGCCTGGGCAGGGGCAGGGAGGCATCCCAGAGCCGGGCCCTCCCCCATTCCCTGTCCCACTCCAGGACCCATTTCCCCACCCCTGAGGCCGCCACCTCCCTGCCCTGGAGTCTGCCTCACCTGCCTGTTCCCCACCGCCCGGGCCAGATGCTGCCGCCTGAGTCTGAGGACGTGTTGATGGAGGAGTACATGGGGAGCAGCGAGGACCCCCAGACCCTCAAGGCCCAGTTCCAGGAGATGATGGCAGACGGCCTCTTCGTGATGCCTGCGCTCCAAGTGGCCCATCTTCAGCGTGAGTTCGTCTGTGGTCCAGGCCTGACCGTCAAGGGCATAGCTCAGAGCTATGAGAGGTCTGTCCTGCCCAGGTTCCTACCCACATCTTTTTAAACTTTCTTAGAATTTATTTGGAAGGCTGAGAAGCACACAGAAAAACAGACAGCGCTCTTCCAGCTGCTGGTTCATTCCCCTAAATGCCTGAAACAGCCAGTGCTGGCCCAGCCCAAAGCCGGGAGCCCAGAACTCAACCCAGGTCTCGGGCCGTGAGTGGCAGGGCCAACTCCTGCTGCCTCCTCCTGCACATTAGTAGGAAGCAGCTGTCCCGAGTGACTCCGTAGCCACCGCCCCAGATGCCCTTCCCCTCCCGCTCTTCCTGCGGCCCCTGAGAGCCAGGCCCGTGATGTCCCCATCTCGGTAAATCCCAAGGCGCCTCCCCCATCGTGCAGAGGACAGGGAGGTGAGTGAGCTTGGGTGACTTTCCCAGAGCTACCCAGCTGGGAAGCCCCGAGGCCATGATCCCATCCCAGCCACTACCGCGCCCTGGGCCAGATCCAGCCAGGTGTGCACTAGAAAGTGGAGCCCCCGCATCTCTCCCTCCAGGCCCCCACGCGCCCACCTACTTCTATGAGTTCCAGCACCGGCCCCACTTCCTAAAGGACAAGAAGCCGCCCCACGTGAAGGCTGACCACGGGGATGAGCTGGCCTTTGTCTTTGGGATCTTCTTTGTAAACCGCCAAGGTGAGTGTCCCTCCCTCCCTGGGAGCCTGAAGCTGGGAGTCAGGTGTGCAGGGTCTCAGGGTTCCAAGGGCTGAGCTGGGTTAGAATCGCAGAGCCTCAGTCAGCAGCCTGTGCCCCTCCTGCTCTGCCCACCTGGTCATGGGGGTCCTGCGGGGAGCAGAGGCAGGAGTCTCAAAGGTGTATTTGTTTCTTAAAGGACTTCCCTGGCCGAGCCAGAAATGAGCCCGGGTCCACGGAGCAGGAGGCTGCACAGAGAAAAGGGAGCTTGGCCAGGGGAGGGTCCAGCTCCTGGGAATGAAGGGAGGGGCAGAGAACCAGTGTAGGACAGCTGAGGGTCAGCTCCACCTGGGCTGGGAGTGAGGTGCATGATGGGCAGCAGGACTGGGGTGGCCGAGCTGACCCTGCCACTCCCCCTCTGCAGTGCCCCTCACTGAGGAGGAGGAGCTGCTGAGCAGGAGGGTGATGAAGTACTGGGCCAACTTTGCTCGCAACGGGTGAGACGACCCCCCCCCCAAATCCCCAGGGACCTGGGACCCTCTGCTCTCACTCCTCTGGGGGGACCTCACCAGCATCCAGAGACCTAAGTCACGTGACAGCGCCCTCCCGAGCTGCAGGACCCACTGGCACTCACAGGGGCCTGGACGAGGCACACTCTTCCCATCTCCCAGTGACCTGGGGTGGGCCACGAGCTGCTCACATCTGCTTCCTGACGTCTTGTCTGCAGGAACCCCAACGGCGAGGGCCTGCCGCACTGGCCCGTGTTCAACCAGGACGAGCGATACCTGCAGCTGAACCTGCAGCCTGCAGCGGGCCAGGCCCTAAAGGCCTGCAGGCTCCAGTTCTGGACCCACACCCTGCCCCAGAGGGTCCAGGAGCTAAGGGGCACTGAGCAGAAGCACACAGAGCTGTAGCTGCCTGTGTGGGGGTGGGGGACAGGGGCTCCAGTGCAGGTGGGGCCCCGATGCACTCACACACATCCCCGGAGGAGCCATGTTTTAGGCACTCTCACGTGACCACTCAGTCCTGCTGGCCTCCATCCACTCAGCAGACCGCTGTGGAGAACCCAAGTCTTGAGGTTCATTGCCAAGCCTACCATGGGGCCCCTCGTGTGAGACACACCCAGTATACACTCCATGGCCCTGTGTTGGGCAGCACCAGTCCCCGCCCAGCTTCCTCAACACCCACTGGGCCCTGGGCCCCTCCTGCTTCTTGCCCCTCCACCTTCTCCCCACCCTCCCTCTCCTTTCCTCCCAGCCACAGGCCCTCCCCATGTGGAGGGAGATGCGTTGGGCATTGTTGCCCACCCCTGGGTGCCTTAACCAATCGTCCTCCTCCCAGCATGCCCTGTGATCTCACATCTCTTAGAGGCCACAGAGGACCAGGACTCCAGGAGTCACCATGGCTTCGTCCCTGCAGGCTGCCATGAGTGGTGCCCTCAATCCCATCCATGCAGCACAAATAAAGGGTTCCAGTCCTTTCACGGCTGAGTCGCATTCACCTGAGTGAACCTGCCACGTTTTCTTAGACCCTCAGCTCTCAAGAGACACCTGGTTACCTGCACAGCTGGGATACCATGAATCATTGATTCAGTAAACCTGGAGTATAGGGCTGTAGTTTTGAACAGGGGGTTAAGCCTCCACCCATGTCGCTGGCATCTCATATGAGTGAAGTTCAGGTCCCAGCTGCTCCACTCCTGATCCCACACCCTGCCCCAGAGGGTCCAGGTTCTAAGGGGCACTGAGCAGAAGCACACAGAGCTGTAACTGCCAGTGTGGTGGTGGGGGCCCCCGATGTGCTCATATACACCCACAGAGGAGAGATTTATTCAGCAGTCTCATGTGGCCACACACTCCTCCTGGCCTCCGTCCACTCAGCAGTCCATTGTGGAGAACCCACGCCTTGAGGTTCATTGCCAAGCCTGCCCTGGGTCCCCTCGTGAGAGACGCACCCAGTACACCTCCATGGAGCTGTGTGGGGCAACACCAGTGCCAGCCCAGCTTCCTCAACACCCACTGGGCCCTGGGCCCCTCCTGCTTCTTGCCTCCTCAAACTTCTCCCACCCTCCCTCTCTTCTCAGCCAGCCCCAGGCCCTCCCCATGTGGAGGTAGCTGGTTGGGGATTGTTGCCACCTCTGGTGCCTTAAGACCCCTGCTCCTCCTCCCAGCCTGCCCTGTGATCTCACATCTCTTAGAGGCCACAGAGGACCTGGACTCCAGGAGTCACTGTGGCTTCACCCCTGCAGGCTGCCATGAATGACGCCCTCAATCTCATCCATGCAGCACAAATAAAGGGTTCCAGTCCTTTCACGGCTGAGTCGCATTCATCTGAGTGTTTTCTTAGACCCTCAGCTCTCAAGAGACACCTGCTTGCCTCCACAGCTGGGATACCATGCATTATTAATGCAGAAAACCTGGGAGTATAGGGCTGTTGCTTTGCACAGGGGGTTAAGCCTCTACCCATCTCGCTGGCATCTCATATGAGTGACAGTTCAGGTCCCAGCTGCTCCACTCCTGATCCAGATCTCTGCTAAGGCACCTGGGAAAGCAGCAGAGGAGGGCCCAAGGGCTTGTGCCACTGAAGCCTTCATGGGGTACACAGATAATGTTTCTCCCTCTGGACATGGCCTGGGCTAGCCCTGGCCATAGTGGCTGAGAGAGCCCTGGGCTGAGCAGAGGTCAAGGCCAGTTCTCAGGAGCCACAAAGTCAGCCTTCATGAGCCAGGGTCCACTTCCCCTGGGGGCTCCCGTGCCCAGGCTGCTCCTCCTTCCTGCAGGGAGCCTAATGTTTCCTACACTCAGGCTGACTTCCGGCCCCCCCACTGCTGTCACAGGACCACACATACCCTGCTGGGTGCCCGGTGGGGAAGGTGTGGGCCCTGGGTCTTACATTTTACTCAAGCTTCTTGTCCCCATGGAGATGAGGATTCACAGCAGCAGCAGCCACAGGCAGTGCACAAAAGCAGCTTTGATTTCAAGGAGAGAGAGCGTGACCACACCTGCACGCCTACTGAGGGCCGCCCCACACACGGAGAGACCCTCAGCAGGAATGGGCCAGGGTTGCCAGGGGGAAGAGAGGAAGAGGCAGCCCAAGGAGGATTCCCAAGCACAGCCAGGGGCAGAGAGGGCCCTCCCCTTTCTCATCCCGGGGGGCCGTGCCCTAAATGCATAACCCAGTGGGGTGGGATCTCACCTGTGGGAATACTGAAGGGATGGTTATGGCCCCTCCATCCAGAATTTCACTTCCATGTTTCCATCATGGCTTCTCCTTCCTGGTCCCAGCTGAGACACAGGTGCATCCTGGGAAAGTGGTGTAAAAGACTGACAAGCAAAGGGATAAAGTTACAATGCAGGGCTGGCAAAGTTCCAGCTCCCGAATTCCTGTGGTTCTCCTGCCTGGTTGCCAGGTATCAGGACCAGCAGGTTTTCACTGTCAAGGAGAGGACAGAACTGTGTCTCAGAAGAAGCTGGGGACACAGCACACATTGGGTTCAGCCCTTAGTTAGTGCCATGGTCACTGCCACTGCCTCTCAAAACCTGGACCCTGAGTGAGCAGGGAGGGGATGGGCAGAGTCGGGAAAGGATGGAGGAGGGGCCTGGACCCAGTGGGCACCCAGCCTGGAAACCAAGGAGGAGCTTCCAGGATCCGGGACAGTGACACCTGCCAGCCTTGGCTCAGGTGACCCCTGGGGCAGGGGCTGTGGCACAGAGCAGTAAGCCACCATCTGCAGTGCCTTCATCCCATGTAGGCACAGAGCCGAGCCCCTGTGGCTTCACTTCTGATCCAGCTTCCTGCTAATACACCTAGGAAAGCAGCAGAAGGCCCACGTGCTTGGGTCCCTGCACTCACCTGGGAGACCCAGAAGAAGCTGCTGGCTCCTGGCGTTGGGCTGACCCAGCCCTGGACGTTTGAGACTGACCCTGTAGATGGAAGATCTCTCTCTGTATCTCCCTTGACTCTTTATCTCTGCCTTTCAGATAAATAAAAAATAAATAAATCCCTTTTTTAATTGTTTATTCCCTTAGAAGGCCCCCTGGTGTCCTGCAAACTGTATGACTACACTATCCTGGACTAAGACGGCAAGGCCAGTGAAGTTGGTGACTCCAGGATTGAGGCGAGGGGCCTGGACCCCCGAGGAGCCCGGTGAGAGGGGAGGCAGCCATGCCTTTATCCCTACTGACCTCTCTTCTCTCAGTCCACTCCCACCAGAGGCGCTCAAGCCCCGCCCCCGCGGTGTGCCCCGCCTGCTTCCTGCCCAGGCCAGGGGCGAGGCCTTGATCCCAGCCTGGAGCACTGGGTGCAGCCTGCGGGACACAGAGGTGTGCACGCGGCCTCCTTGGAGCATGGGGCTGCACCGAAGGGGAGCTCAGCTCGGCGCCATTGTCTGCGGTCTCCTGCTGCTCCTGGACTCTGGTCAGGGTGAGGATTCCCGGGGCAACAGGGACCAAGGTCCGATCTGCCCAATCCTGCAGTTAGAGCCTGAGGCCACAGGAGGGCAGCGCCTGGGAGGTTGGAGCAGGTGAGGGGACAGTGGGGGACCTGGGCGCCCACCATGGTCTCCTGAGGCTCCAGGCACGGAGGAATGAGCCCAGCACCAAGGCTCTGAGCAGCGCTGGTCGGGTCGGCAGCCGGGACAGGAAGGGGCGTGGGAAATGGGGCCCTTTCCCTCCCTTGCTTGAGGCTTGGTGACTGTGCCCTCCCCAGGACACTGATGAACCTGCCCTGGGCTGTGTGTCTGCCAGGGTCTCCTCTGACCCAGTGCACCTGGCAGGGGTCCTCCTGGGCTGGATTCCAGGGCAAAGGTGACCACACCTCCGTGCCTGGCATTCTGGGAGCTCAGGCCAAGAGGGCACCACTCCTGGGTGTGTCGTGGAGCCTTTATCTCCTCATTCCAAAGGCCCAAGACTGGAGCTGGCATTGCAGAGTAAGTCAGCACTGTGCACTGGCGGCCCCTAGGAACACTGGCTCCAGCTCTGCCTGCTGGTCTCCCACTGCAGCTTCCTGTAATGTGCCTGGGAAAGCAGTGGAAGATGGCTCTGTCCCAGGCCCCTGATGCTCCCATGTGGGACACCCTGCTGAAGTTCAAGGATCCTGGCCTGGGCCTGGGTGGTGCCTTTTGGAAACTGAACCAGCAGATGACCTCCCTTGCTCGCTTGCGCGAGCTCTCTCTCTCTCTAACTAGATCTTTCCTAACAATAGCTCTTTAAAAAGAATAAATACCGTGAAAAGCCAGGTCTCTAACCCCACCCTCTCCCTATCTAATCCCCAGCACAGGCCCCACTCCTCCTCCTCCATGCTCACCCACGGGCTCCCCGCCTGCCCTGCAATGCACAGACTCTCCCGGCGAACAGGACCTTCCAGGCAGATCGTCTCCCCCACATCACTGTGGTTCCTAATAAAGTAATATCTGGGGCTGGGTCCACACTCAGAGAGGGAGCAGTTGTTCTCCAAGGACCCTGGGAGTCGCTGTGCGTGTCCGGGGCAGGAACCGCGGCAGCGTCTGCACGGAAGCCGCCCCTGTCCTCCGTGGACTCTGCTGAGCTCAGCTCACTGTCAGCCTCACAGCCGGAACTGCTGCTGCAGGCAGCGCTGTCCTCCATGGTTGGGGCGAACGACAAGGACAAGGTTGGGACCAGCTCAGGAAAGAGGCGCTTTTTACTCACCGCTCCGGGGCCAGGCTCTCCTCTCCCTGACCCAGGGGCCCAGAGCACCCTTGTGGCCGGGCATCGCCTACTGTGACAGGGGAGGTTCCTCCTGAGGAGGAGTCAGCTTCCATGGGCTGGGGATGATTGATTTCTGCTGCTTTGAACGCAGAGACACAGGGAGAGGGAGAGACAGAGTGAGAAAGAGCTCTCCCCTCCACGGTCACCCTCAGACGCCCGCTGTGTTAGGAGGGGAGCATCCCAGTGGCCTTGCTACAGCTGCTCCAAGTATCTGCCCAACAGTTGGCACTTCCCTTGGGCTTCTACCGAGGGTGGGACCTGCAGGGCGGTGGAGCTCCAGGTTAAGTGTTGCAGGACTGCCCGTCGGGTTCCCAGAGCACGTGTCCCATTTCCCTACCCCAGCGATGCGCAGAGGTCCCCTCCCCACCCCCGCGCCCGCGCTCTGCACCCCTGTGCGGTTGCCCTGTGTTGCTGAGTCTCCCTCACGCGTCAACTCCCCTCTGCCTCGCTGTGCTCTTCCTCCTGATTCCTGTGTTGAGAAACCGGTTTACCCCTGGCTCTCTCTGGAGGGGGAGGACCGTCCCTGTGGTGCTTCTGGCTGTTCCTCTGTCCCCTCACCCTGTGTACACAGGAATTGTAGCCTAGAGGCTCCGTTGGGTTCAGCTGTTAGGGTTCTGCTGCTGCTTTTTCTTGTTTTGGCAAGACCAGCATGTGGTGCTGAGTCCTCACCATAGAACATCTCGACCTTTTCATATCTGATTCGTGGCACAACACAGATCCTTGAGGGACAGCATGAGAGCAGCAGTGAACCTGCATCAGGGAGCTGGATCTGGGGTGAAGCAGCCAGGATGGAACTGTGTAGGGGATGCTGGCCATGCAGGCTGTGGGTGCACCCGAGCGCCACTACACCGCCCCCTAGAGTACGCTTCCTTTCTTCCCTTCTTGCAGCCTGGAGCATGAGCCTCCTAGCAGGGGAGCCTGGTCAGTCTGGTGCTCACAGCTCTACCTCCTGTGACCGAGGGCAGTCAGCAGAAAGGACGCTCTCCTCGCCCCCAGGGCTGTCACCTGCGCTGACTCCTAGTGCTCAGGGAGGGTGCTAGGTCCCAGGAGCCTCGGGAGCTGTGGGATGTCCTGGGCTGGGCAGGGACAGCACTGCTGGCTGGGAGATGGGGGAGAGTTTCTCATGCAGGACGTTGGTCAGGTCAGTGTTTGTAGGTCCGAGGCCTTGGCAAGGCTGAGATACCAAAGCCAAGGAGAGGCCACAGCAGCAGTGTGGGAGGGCAGCTCATGGGGAGACACACCTGATGCACCAATCTGCCCACAGGCCAGGACTCTGCCAGCCCCATCCGGAACACGCACACGGGGCAGGTGCGCGGGAGCCTGGTCCACGTGGAAGGCACCGATGCGGGCGTCCACACCTTCCTGGGAATTCCCTTTGCCAAGCCACCTGTGGGGCCGCTGCGCTTTGCACCTCCTGAACCTGCTGAAGCTTGGAGTGGAGTGAGGGACGGGACCTCCCACCCAGCCATGTAAGCGCTCCCAGGGCACAGGGGAGCTCCGGCCCTGGGGGGAGGTCAGGGGAAAGATCCTCTGAGTTCTGGACTAGGCCCAGCTATCTGGGACAGAACTCCCATGACCAGCTTTCCCTGTGGGTGATGG